AATGATAACTTGTGTTATTTTTAAGTATTTATTTAAAAAGAAATCATGTTTCCCACTTGTACTTAAGCACTATCTTTTCCACAGCTGAATATTTGCGAGATTTGTGTTGGGCCTTCTGTTGCAAAACAATAAAAACGGGACACAGAAAAGAAAGAGATGATAGCTTTGTATTGAAAATAGGTTTTGAGGTACACACAAGCAGAGACTGAGAATATGTGGTGTATAATTAGACTAAGAGTCTTGACACAAAGAAGGGCAAGATGACTTCATTGGAGATCATCACGATACAGAAAATCTACAAGTAGGCTTGGCAGAACCGATCAATGCTGGAAGAAAAATACATACCAAAACAGAGAGTTGATTTTTCTAGTCACCTCTTGCTAAGTGTTCCTAATCCTTAGTGAGGAGGAAACAGGAAATTCATGTCAGCACGCCCATGGTGTAAAATTTCCAATATGTATGCAGTATATCGTGATGTTTGGGTTAGCGATCAGGAATTGTGTACGGTTCTGATCCTACGTTGTGGGTTAAGTCCTTTTCTGCTAATCTTTTTCTTACCTTTATAAAATCTGGATTTAAAGAATCCTTCAAGTTGTTTTCATGTACAAATAAATGGGATTGAATCCTACAGATTCTTTATTCAAGATGCTGGTGCCAAGAATGGAAGACCAGGTGAGTGTGGCATGTCTTTGGGATTTTAGAGAAGCAGACTCTTAGACAAGAATTCACATGCAAGCCATTTGTTTGGGAGATTAGCCCAGGAAAACACTGAAGAGGATTATCTGAAACCAAGAAGGGGAAGGACCAATGAAAGGTGGATTATGAAACAAATTACCCCCGTGGGCCACCGAAGCTGGGGAACTCTGGAAACGATACAGAATATGCACCTCTGAGTCATGCTGAGGTATTTATACACCAACTCCCATCACTTGGGGCTCCAGGGTTGCTCCTCGGAGGTGGTAATTCTTCACACCTGCAGCCTCTCCTGCAGGTGAAATACAGGTGCTGCCAGGAGGAAGTTGGCCCCAAGAGCACTAAAATGGTGAGGGCAAAGACTGGATATGCCTCTTGGGAAAATTACTCTTGTGCATTTCCCCTTCTGTCCCAGCACCAGTGATTTGGCTCCACACCTGAAGACCTGTTTGCAAGTACTCAGGGTTGTTTGTAACCAAAAATTGAATTTCGTGACTTTTACTTTTTTATTGTAATCAATTTGTTTATACATGACTTACATTAAAAACTGAGCTATATTTACAAACTGTATTTGAAATCTGTCCATTCCTTACACTGTGGAAAACATGTTAGGCAAACCTAAGATGCGAAGACACTGTGTAATAAAATGTGCTCTCTGTGGTGAGTTGCATCTGCTTCAGGTGAGACCATAGCCTTACCAAGGGTATGTCTGGGATCTAGTAAATGCCAAAGGAATCTATGCCATTTGGCCTTGATGCCACTTCTACTTTTCAAGACTGCTTCAGAATATCGCAGTGATTTTACTAATGATTACTCGTTTTCTCTCACTACCAATTTTATCTTATTTTCCCATTCAAAATATAAAGGGAAATTATGTGATTGTACTATCCTTAATTTGTTTTTTTAAATTCTCCAACATTCTGGAATAAAAATGCATGGGAAAAAATAATTTTCGGGAGTTTTATATGCATGTTAAAATACCATGGACAAATAAAAGATCCATCATTCATATATTACTGAAAAATAGTTCCCTCTGTATTAGCCTGAGCTAATGAACTTTACGTTAGGTTTTGTGTTTCTGATGGGCAGTCTGTTCAGTATTGCATACTCCTGCTGTGTAAGTGTAACACATTTTATGACTGTTTCTTATTTTTAACTATTTATTTTGAAATAATCTTAGACTTACAAAAAAAGGTGCCAGAGTAAATCACAAAGATCCCATGTCCCTTCCTCCATGTTAAAATCTCACAGAAGCATCATCCTATACTAGAGGACTGGTCCTTGAACCAGGTGGATGTGAGGAAGTCTGCTGCAGAGGTTCATCACCTTACAGAAATATTCTCTCATAGATGGTACTGGAAAGGATAAAAATATTTTTTTAATTTCCTTGGTTTAAAAATGAGGGGAAAAAAAGAAAAAAGTCTTCTCATTGGAACACTTAATGTAATCCAATAAGTACATGGGTAAATAAATACATGTGTGCATACATACAAAACACATGTTGGGTGGTATCAGGACTCACTAAGACTTTGTATTAATGTTTTCTTTTTACTTTTAGTTATGCTACCTTCTCTCTTCCTTTGTTACTGCCAATTGTTAGGGGGTCTAGATAAACCACTATGCTGAGGAGTCTGATCTGATCTTCTGGAACTTTGAGAAAAGCAGACAGCAGGGGAGAAAATTTTAATGGTAGTAAGGAAGTGTTCGAGTCTCCGATATGAGGACTCTGACACAGGAGGTAAGCAGTAACGTTTGTTGCATAGAAATCCCTAACGGTTGCCAATACTCGGCGATAAATTACCTGGAGAGAAATGCTTGAACTTGTTGGTGTCAGTCGGGGCTGCTCAGTGAATGACATTAGAAAAACTCTAAATGTACATCATTGCAATACTAATTATGATAATAGCAACAACAAGATCAGTGTTGTCAGACCACTGAAGAGTATGATATGTAAATATTAATTGAGGCTTATTTTTCATCCCAAACAGAAACCAGAAAGGTGGTGCTTGGCTACCCCTTTCAAATTATAAAACTGGTTATTACTAACATTTCTTGAAGCAAAATACACCAAAGGAATCTCCTTATTCTTTCTCTCTTCGTAGTTCTCACAAACCTCCAGGCTTTCCAGTGTCCTCAAAAACACTCCCACACCACATATCCATCTCCTACTTCTTTCTCACCTCACCTCCCAAAAAAAAACAGCCCTATGACATAAAGTGCTTATAATAAATAGCTAGAAGTATCTCTCTTCTTAGGGAGTAAGAAAATATTGAAATTATAACTGCCATGTCTTCCCCTGCCTCCAACATTCTGGGACCTTCATTGCTATGCATAACAAGTGGATCAATTCTAACTAGACGGATGGTCTCAACAGGCATTGGGCAGCACATTAATGTACCACAGCCTTCCAGCCATGCTTCAAATTCTCCACATGTGTGTCTCCCAATTTTGCTCCAGTGGAAACCTTTTCTTTGCTCCAACTGAGGAGCCATGCTGTTATTACAATGTGTGACAGATAATCCTGAAGTCAAGCCAGTTGTAGGAGGAGGCGTAGAGGATTATAATTTGCTTGCTCCAAGAAGGGGCCAAGGAGGGGCCCAACATCAAGCAGGCACCAGAGAAAAGGCACATATGTAGTGGCACATTTAGGTACTTTTCTCGAAGGGGATAGAAGAATGCTTGATCAGACGGTACACTATTTCACTCAAACAATAATGCTGAACTGGAAGGCTTCAAAAAAGAAAAGAACAGTGAAATAATTAAAGAGAAACTATAATTCCTTCAAGCTGGTGTCTCAAATCCTGGTATTTGAAAGTTCTGTGAAATAGAAACCTGCTTTTCCAGGTCTGGTCTCTAGGTGTGCTCTCTTCCACCCAGTTATCTTATTCTTGGTGTAGACAATTGGCTTCTCTCAACTTTAGGGAGACAGAATTGGAGTTTCTCAAAAGGAATCTTACAAAAAAAGCTGAGAAATAAAAAATATAGAAGAAAGAAAAAATATAGACTTAAATGTCAATAGAGTACGGGTGCATTTGTATAAATATATGCTTACTACTTACATTTACTACATGTATACTACATACACGTAATACTGCATAGATGTGTGTATACGTACATATGCAACATTATGTGTGAAGCATTATGCTAAAAACGTGCACACATTATCTTTTTTCATTCAACAAATATTGAGTCTAACTATTGTTAAAAGCACTGGAGAAAGCATTGTTTTTGATGGAGGAGACAGAAAATTACAAAGTAAACAAATGAATGTTTTGAATGAAAATACAGTAGAGTGACTGGGGTGTGATTTCAGAGGGCATGGTCAGTGAAGGCCTTTATGAGAAGTGACATGAGGCTGAGACCTGCATGAGGCAAGGCTGTAAGAGCCATGCAGATGGGGGATAAAGAACAAATGTCAGGCTTAGTCCTATGGGACAAGTCATGTCATCATACCCACTTTGCATAGCAAAAAACTTGGACTCACAGGGAAGAAAAGTGACTTGTCCAAGATTCTGCAGCTAGGAAGAGGCATAACCACTCATACATTGGATTGGCTGTTCTGCTTAGAGTATTATTTCCTCCTCAATCGATTTTTCCAAACTCCTCTCTAGGTTGCACCCTTCCCATTGCTCTGTCATTTTCTACTCTTTTCTCCTCTCCTCTCCCCAAGAGACAGGTAAGGCCTCTTTTAAACCTTCCCTCACCCTCACAAGAAGAAAACTCAGTGACAGCACTTGGTGCCAACCTCCTTCTGAGTGGCTTCTGCTTCACTAACACATCTCTCTCTTTCCATTCCAAGCCCTTGAGGGGAGGGCAGGCAGTACTATCATTGACCTTTGCAAACCTGGCAACTAGCATAGCCCTTGACATATTAAGCTATTAAGAAATGAAGCAAGTAAGAAATATTTGAGGGCATGATGGAGGAAGGAAGGAAACAAAGAAGGAAGGGAGGAAGGTTTTTAGCTCAGGATGCAGGTCAATTTAGAAAATGACAATAACAGACTTCAGAGACAAATAAAAGTAGCTTCTCACAATTTCTAGACTTGTTACTAGCATTGTGTTATCTTTGCTTCTCTCTTCCTCTCTTTGAAAGTCAAATGCGTTTTCAATTGTCTTAAATTATACAAGGAAGAAATTCCAATCTGGGTGGATCAGCAGAGAGGGCAGTGGGAAAGGGAAAGGTACAGGAGGACACCCCTGGACCCCTGAAATCATACCACATGGGTGGCACTGACTCTGGAGGCCAGATCGATGCAAATTACTATGGCTACTTCCCAGCAAGCACTTAGCTCCAGTGTAGGCGTTACCTGTGTCCTAAATTTCAGAGGCAGCATGGTGAATGTATAATCAAGGAGCTCTTGAGGCAGATTACCCAGCTTTGCATTCCTCTTCATCCGTTTAGTAGCCATGGGACTTGCTGTTCCCATTTCCACATCTTTTCAGTGGGGATGCTCATGGTACCCATCTTATAGGCTGTTGTGAGGAATAAATAAGTAAATATACATAAAGCTGTTAGACTGGTGCCTGGCAAGGACCCAATGCATGTTAGCTGCAAATTTGGTACTTACTAAATAAATAAATAAATAAAGTGATGAAAAAAGGATATTGGGGTAAACATGTAATTTGGAGGGAAGGAAGGGTCATTATGTTTTTCATCATCATTCATCACAATCTCTGGAGATAAAAAAGCTACAATAATTCCTCAAAATTGCAGAAAGACTTGTTCATGTCTTCTTTCTCTTCAGCTGCCTCCTACAGCTTTTGGAAGGGTCGATGGCCTGAAATTTTCTGCATTGTCCTTTTCTATATACTAAATTATTTGTCGGGGTCCATTTTTTTCCTCTTGTTTTCATTCATCATGAATGGTGATAGTTATGCTTATTTTTCGAAAAAGAAGCATACCTTCATAATCCTTGATCATTGATGTCTTACAGGATGGGTTAAAAAAAAGCTTCTGATTCCATTTTTTCCCTTCTCTAAGACAATGGACAGAGGTGGAGCAGAAACAATAAATGTTCTGGAGCCTTTTATTGACCCAAATCCTGAGGTTATTCGTGTGACCCTACTAGGATTTCAAAAACATCAGGCAAGGATTTTCCTGGGAACTATAACTGTTTCAAGTTATAAACTTAGGTCCTGAAGAAATGGCTCAGAATGAGCCAGTTAGTTGCAAAACAAATTAAAAAAAAGAATTCCCTTTAATCCCTGAAGAAACGGCTAGAGCAGAGTTTCCACGTATGGAGAGAATGTTTTAAAAAAGCAAAAATTTCTCTCCTGCCTTTTCTTTTTTACTAACCTACCATAAGGACCCAGGAGGGCAGCAGTGGGTGAGAAACGGGGTTTCTGTGCCAAGTTCTGAAGAAAGCCTCTTCGGAGACAATTGGCTGGTAGCCTTGTCCCTGCTCTTGTAGGCAGCTCGAGCTACTCGCGCACGTAGTTCCACTAGGTACAACAAATGTGCCCATGAAAACTGACATCGAGCGCTGATGAAATTTAACCCTCGGCAGATCTCCTCCACTATTCTACTAGGTGAGAGGGAGCAAGAGAGTGTCCTTGGGATTCACGGAGAGTTAGCCGGGATTTAACTAGCCGGGACAAGGTATTTCCAAGTCCTGCTCAAACAATTTAAGTCTCTCTGGGAAGAAATCTTATTTATCCTCATCCCGGAAACATTCCCCATTCCTAGAAAAAGCCACACATCCTCTTCTTTCTCGCCTTCTCTTCTTTCGCGTCTGGTGACAATTTCAAAGAGCCTTGAGGTCGAGAAACCTAAGCCAGGTCTCCTTGAGGCGTCCCGGTTTATCTCCGCGCTCCGAGCCGGCGCATCATTTCAGCGCCGCCGCATCGCCCCGCGCCAAACCAACTCGGTCTAACTTTCCCTCCCAGACTCCAGCAGGGGCGCCCTCTGGGCCACCGACTGCGGCAGGCTGGAGCGACCCCGGTCCCGAGACCCCAGAGCTGCGCGCTCAGCGCCGGGGGGAGCGGACTCGCCGCGCGGCGCCACCGACTCCTCTCCCGCCCCCCACGCTCGCAGCCCCGCGCTCTCGGAGCTCGGCCTGGCGCTCCGCCGCGCCCGCCCGCCCGCGGCTTCTCGCCTCCACACCCTTCGTCCCCGGACACCAAGCCCTCTCAACTCCCATCCTCTCCACCTCGGGGGCCGCTCAGCAAAACCCTGTTCCCTCCTTTGCACACGCCTCCAAACACCCTCCCAACACCCAGCACAGCCCCCAGAGAAAGGCCAGCCCGGATCTCTCCAGTTAAACTGGCCGCCGAGGATCTCCATCACCACCAGCCGCCCTAATTCACGTTCATTCATATTCATTCTTATTCTCATTCTCATTCTCTCTCCCTCTTCCTATTTCTCCAAAGACTCTTAACAAGCCAGGCCGATCCTCCTCAGCGGCACTCCTTTTCATTCATCCCCTCCCACCACACACACACACTCCAACCCAGACAGCCCACTCCACTTTTCAGACGCCCACCTCCTACATACTCCCCTCCCCTAAACAGACTTCCACCCACTCACCATCTGTAGCCTCCCTTCCGCCCCCAGCCCCGCCCGCCCGGCTCCCCCTCCCCAAGAAGCAGACCTGCACAGTGGGAGGCAGGGACCCCCGCCAGACGCTCGGGTCGTGCGCGCCGTTCTGACCTCTGCCCGCCCGGGAAACTAACAAAGGCGCTGCGCGAGCCCGGACCCCGAGAGGGCCGAGCGGCGGGCGGCGGCCGCGGGGCGGGCGAGCTCGGGCCGGGCCGGGCAAGCGCCGGGCGGGGGCTGCTCCGGAGTCGGGAGGCAGCGGCGCCGGAGGACGCGGATCTCTCGCCGCGCGCGCCGCTCGGACGCCGCCGGCACCATGGGCTGCTGCACCGGGCGCTGCTCGCTCATCTGCCTCTGCGCACTGCAGCTGGTGAGTGCCCCGCGCGCCCCGGCCCGGGACCGGCCCCTGCCCTGGGACTGGCCTCCCCGGGTCCCTCCGCAGATCCGCAGCTCCTGGCGGGGGGCGGGCGCTCCCGCCGGCCCCCCCCCCCCCCGCCTCCCCGACTTGCGCTGCCCTCCCTCGCGGACAATCACTAGGTCGCCCCTGCCCTGCGGGAGGGCGCGGTCTCCCTCTTGCCTCCCCCCGCTGGGGTTCCCTGGACCCTTGCCGGGTGTCGCTACAAGGTCCAGGGGTGGCAGGCGAGGCGCCGGGGGAGTGAGAGATTTCCCCGCCCCTCGGTCGGACAGCTGGCTTTAGCACCCTCCGCATCCCTGCTGAAGTTTCACAGGAGCTTGTGGGCTCTTTCTTCTTGCGATGATTTCCAGTGAGGTGGTTTAGTTACAAGAATGGGAATGGCCAGGTTCTGAGGAGACAGAGCAGCTTAAACTCTCAGTTAAGAGTGAGGTGGTTCTTACCTTCAGCAGGTTGCAAGGTGGTTGTTGAGGAGTCTTGGAGCTCCAGCAAGGAGGTCTGGCTGTGTTTTTAAACAGTATTCCAACCCCTACCCTTCCAGTTTCTCTTTAAATTTTGTTGAAATGCTCCACGTTTAGATAGCGACAGACTGACGGCTTTCATCGGGGAGAGAACGTTCTGAAAGGCTCCGTTGGCGCGGTAGCTTGCCGAGGGAGTGCCTGTAATGGGAAGTTCAGAGTGGAATGGGAAGAGATCAGAGTGGACAGTAAAAGGGCTTTCGGTGTGGAGCGAATGCTTCTCTTACCATATGTCCTATTGGGACCTAGACTGGCCCTGTGGTCTAATCCATAGTCACTTGAGGTCAAGGCCGTAGACCTTTTGTGTCAGACTTTTGTGTGTGAGAGATTAATAAACTCCCTTTTATTACACTTAAGACAGATTCTGTAGATGCTTTGCCAAGCTTTTTTCTGTGTTGTTTGTTTTCTAAAGTCACGAACATTAACTAGCGTATTTTAACTAGCAAGAGGAAAAGGCTTTTCAGTGAGCTTTACTGGGTGTCAACCCTTGCAAGACTCCTTAACTGAGGGATGAAATAATGCTCTTTCTTTGGTAGTTAGTCCTTGTTCCCATGAATGTTTTAAAAGGTTTCACTTTTCACTTGCCACAGTGTTCCCTTCTCCCATAAAAACCTCACTTTAGATGTGCTCTTCATTCTTAACGTGTCCATAATTTATGTATTTATAGATTTTAAATCAGTGGCTACTTTTCTTTAGATCTATGGGACAGTCCCTTCTGTCCTTCTAAATAGGACATATTTTATAGAGTTGTCTTGAAAAATAATTTAAAAATTCACTTGAGCATGAATGTTTTCTTTCACTAAGGAAAGAAAGCCAAAGGATAATCTACAATTTTGCTTATTAGAAATGGCTTATAAATTGGAAAAACTAAATATTTAGTCAACCCTCGAATATGCAAGATTGTAGATAGGCACACCGGATTGTATAAACTATAATGGCATAATTCTTTCTGTTTTACATGGAAATAATGTGTAGGGGTTTTTGATGCAGCAGCTAGTTGGTATTATAATATTTGTGATGATAATGTGTTTGGTGTTTCATCTGTCCACTTTTCACATACACCTTCTCAATTGATACGAATGTAACTTACTTTCCAAAGCTTAACCCCAAATTCCATCTTTACGGAGTCTTCCCTGATGCTCCAAGTAAAATCACGTGCTTCTTTTCCTTTAATTTCATAGCACTTTCCTTTTTCCTGTTATAACACATTTCGTGTTCTTAGATCATTTTAAGTTATTTACACTTACCTTTATCACTGGACTGAAAGCTACCTGAGGATCAGGATCAAACATTGTTCATCTTTCCAAACCCTGCACGTCCTTAGGAGAGCTCATATTAGGAGCTGAAACATATTTGCTGAATTTATGAACATTAACTTTTGAAATCCCTACAGGGTTTTTGCATAAAGATTATTTTAATTTACCCCTAAAATTATCCTCTGAGGAAGGCACCCATTTCACTAGTTTGCAGATGAGGAAGGCAATACTTGTAAACAATTTTTTGAGTCAATAGTTTCTGGATGGTAGAAAAGTGGGGTGGCGGTAAACACTTAATAATTGGATCTCAGACAAAACATATCTTATGAAGCGGCTCCCACTGTGGGAACGGTGGGCGGAAATTACATGTCAAGGACAGGGGAGGGGGTGACATGCCTCCAGTTGTCCTGCTCCAGCTTGAGGGTCAGCTGGGTCACAACCTCTCAATGACCTCCTCCAACCCATGGCAGATTCTTTGCTGAAATGGGTAACAGTTTTCAAATACTGGAAAATTACTCCCTCAGTTTTTTCATGCTGTTGCCAATGTAATGGCATGACACATGACAATGTAATGACGTGTATAAGTCTACTCTAGCATACCACTGGATTGGACTCCCAGATCTAGTGTTTTTTCCACGGAAGCCAACTGTCTTCTTTTCTCTTTCATGTTTTTTCTGCTCCCACCAACTGTTGGAAGATGGAGGTTATGAAGCAGTAAATAAGGGTGGCTGTTGAGAGGGGAATGGTATCTGGAGGACACGTTTGCTGAAGAGATTCTGTGTGCTGAGGCCTAGAAGCAACTGCGTAGGTCATTAAAAGATGGCACATTGGTTCCTTCTAAAAGTTAAAGAAATAAATGAAGGGTTTTTATTATCTCATTCGCATTTCCTATAAACCACTCTCCAGAGTAGAACATCAGATTGGGAAGGTAACGGGAGAGAATTTATCAATTTTAGGCTAGTGTATTTGGATGAGCTTTGGTTTGCAAAATTTCAGTCTTCTTTCTGCTCTCTTCATTCCCCTGCTCTGGCCATCTCCCATGGTTGCTTTCTCTCTAGTTTCTACTCTAGTACAAGCAAATTTGTTTGTTTGCCCCAGATTTTGCATTCGTGTTCTTAATTCTGCTAGATGAATTTAATGAGAAAATGAAAAGCATGAATACATGCCCAGAGAAAACTGTGCAAAGTGAATCTTTTCTGAAAAAGCAATTCATCCCTGTGTAACAGATTCATCAAGTTGTCCAAAAACTTTTAACTACGTTTTTGTAAGGAGGCCTTTGGTTTAGCTTGTGTTAAAATAACGTGTATTCTATTATCATATATGTGTAATCTTGAAATAAATGAAAACACCTGATCATATGCTTTTAGTAAATTATTTTTAGTTGCCACATTTAAATGTGTCTTAATTGCATGTCTTTAAAGTCTAGAATTTACTCCACATGTCATTTCAGAGCCTTCTTCTTATACTGGTCTCAGAGAAGTGTTGAACTTAGGTTGGCAGGAACCGTTCCCACAGAGCATTAGATGTTTTCTTGACTTCACAGAGGTCAGACTCTAAGACGTGTTCAACAAAAGTTTGTCCCTGGATGTTATTACCAGGGAAGATTTATTGCACCTTGTATCATTTTATGGAAAGGTGACAGCTGTATTCCTATTGGGCCTAATAATCAGTGGAACAAAATTCAAAACTCTCGCTTTACATATCTACAGTAACAGAAACTTTTAGAAGATTTATAGAAAACAGGCAGTTTTTAACACCTCTATGGGATGTATGTTTTTATTTTAGAGAACATCCTCTCAAATTAAAGACAACTAACAGTTCTTTTTCTCACGGTGAAAACCAAGTTAACTTTCCCTCACACATTCAAACCGTCTTGTGACCACCTGGGACGCTATAATGCTGAGATAAAATGTGTTGAGAGGTGTCTGAATGACGGTGCTGTAGTTGAGGTGATGTGTTTTTAAACTAAGTTTTATGAAATGCAGCATTCACTTGTCATAGATATTTGGCAATGGATGCAGAAATACGTTTATGTTATTATGTAGATATATTGATACTTTTGCTTTAACGTGTTTTAAATTTTAATAGCTCTTTCTCTTCTCCTATGAAATATAATTCTTAATCATTTAGTTTTCATTCTTTTTCTATATTAAATACGCTGGTTCATCTCATGAAACTCAGAAAAGCTAAGTGAAATTAAAATTGTGGCTAGTAAGAGATGTTAGGTATAATGTAATTGGTATTGAAATCATTACAATATTCTGCTTTAGCCAATTTTCTACAAATTTGGATCCATTTACAGATCTCTTCTCTTGTTGTTATGTGTACATTCAGGGTATTGAATTTACTCGGGAAATATTGTATTATGGTCTTGTTATGGGTTGTATGATGCCCCTGCCAAATTCTTATGTTAAAGTCCTAACCCCCGGTAACTCACAATCTGCTCTTATTTGGAAAAAAAGGGTCATTGCAGATGTAATTAGTTAGGTTAAGATGGGACCCACCCTACTCCAATATGATTGGTGTCCTTATGTTAAGGGGAAATTTGGACACAGGCACGCACACAGGAAGAATACCATGTGAAGATGAAGGCAGAGATCATGATGATCCTTCTATAAGCCAAGGAATGCCAAAGATTGCCAGCAAACCACCAGAAACTAGGTGAGAAGCATGGAACAGATTCTCTTTCACAGCCCTCAGAAGGAAACAACCCTGCCGACGCCTTGATATTAGACTTCTAGCCTCTAGAATTGTGAGACAATAAATTTCTGCGGTTTAAGCCACTCTGTATGTGGTACTTTGTTACGGCAGCCCTAGAAAACTAATATAAGTCTTTATTTTTTATTTTCATAGGACAATAATCACATATTTCTTTGTATTTGTTTCTTTGTGTACATGTTATTTCTTTTACTGGATTTTAAGTCTACGTGGGACAAAGACTTTGATTTACTCACAGAGGCTTCCAGTACACCCTGCAAAGGGTAAGGACTCAGTAAATATTTGGAGAATACATTAATGTATAAATAAATGAGTAGCCACACTTTATTGGGCATTTTTATGTGCCAGGCATTGTTCTAGGTACTTTATATCTATGAAATCATGTAGTTCTCACAACCACTCCTTTTAGAGATTCAGAAATTGAGGCAAAAAGAGTTTAAGTAACATGCCCGAGATCATATAGCTGGTAAATGAGAGAACCAGGGTTCGGATGTGAGTCTGCACTCTCTTTATTCTGTTCTGTGCTTCCTGTCCTTTAAATAATCAAGAACATTCAACAAATATGCATAAAGTCCCTAAGCACTGGATGTACAAGTGTAAACTATTCAGATGTAGACCTGTTCTTAAGGAGTTTTTTCTGTCTGAGGGCAGAAGGGCTATCAATAAATATACAAACAAAGATTACCTAATTACAATTCTGTTCAGTGCCATAAAGGAGATGATAAATGTTATATACACGGAGAAGGAGGGTGAGATCTTCTTAGATGATGTGGTCAGGAAGACTTCCCAGAAATTGAAAGCTGAGTATGAAAGAATGACCAGGAGTCAGTCATGCAAACAGGGGGGAACCATTCTAAGCAGAGGAAACCAAATGTGCAAAGCCTCCAGTTTTGAAAGAGCATGGTGAGCTCCTATATATGAGAGGAGTCTGGTGTGGCTGGGTGCGTATGGGAGAAAGTACATGCAGGGAGATGGCATTAGACACATGCTGTGGCGCCAGATTTCATTGAAAGAGAAATGTGAATCCACTGAAGCATTTTAAACAGCGTCATGGTATCATCTGACTTGTGTTTCAAAATACTTTCATTGCTGAGTAGAGAATAATTAGAGGGAAACAGAGGAAGTGGGAGACAGGATGCTCTTCTGTTATTCTGAGCAAGAGACAATGCGAGTCAGACACATGTAATAACAGAGCAGATAAGGGAAAGGATGGACTTGAGATGATTTTGGAGTAGAAAGCCTAGGAGTTGCTGAGGGGTTGACCTACACATCTTGTGTAACAGAATGTAATTGTGCTGCTTTTTACTAAAAGTGGAAACTTTGGCTGTTGTAGGTGTGGAGGTGGAGCAGGAGTGTTTGTTTGGAGATATGAGGGTCATGTTTTAGACACTTTAACATTCTGATACCTAAGGCCAAGGAGGTGTCAGGTATAGGAGCTTGGAACTCAGAGGACACGATTGGACTGAATATTCAGAATCGGGAATCAGGAGCAACATTGGGATTTCAGGCCCTGGATTGACATCACCTCAAGACAGAGACTGTAAAGATAGATGAGAAGAGAACCAAAAGCAAGACTCGAAGTTGTAAAACTAAGAAAACAGAAATAAACAAAGTTCACTGAAATGGAAATATTTACATATGCTTGTGTTATTTTGTTCTTCATAATATATCAAGTGCTATTGAGTTTTGAAAATCGTCCCCAATTCTAATCAAATCACTTTTATTCTGATCATTTCCATGTGGATTTTTGTTTTGTCTAGTTTCCCCCCTCCCCCACCACGAAGATAATCCTTATCATAAGATTTTGTGAAATAAATTACTTTCTATCGCCAGAATGTCGATAGTACCTTCTATTTGAAAAAAATGAGCTGCTTTATCCATGTTTTTTCACCTTTCTCTCACAAATTTTACAATATACATTTTAGGTCTCCAGGAGAGATTTGAACAATTATCCAGATTATATAAGGGATAAATTTCAAATAACTTAAACATAAGAAATTTTGAGTCAGTGTTAAGTTTTGGCAGCAACAAAATGCACATTAACATAAACTTGGCATATTTTCTTTGCAAGAGTTTGGATGAGTGAGCAGAAAAAAGAACAGATCTATACAGATATATTTTTACTATTTTCATAAGCATTTGTTTTCATCAGGTCAAGTGTGTCTTGCTTAAAAAAGCAGGATTTCAAGTGCTTAATAAAAATTACTCATTGAAGATAAAAATGAAAATCAGAATGGAAAACAAAATTTGAGGGCTTTCAGAACAAAATGACAAACAGTGGAAGCATCTACCTTCCCTTCTTCCTAAGGTCCCAGTCTTAATAGGAGGTTGGGTGCCGTCTCCACTGCCCTGAGGTGTTCTGTGTTGGGCTAGAATCCAGCACTTGTTCTTGCCACAAGGGGCGCCCTGGCAGGGAGCTGGAGGATTGGGTGCCTCTTAGTTTTGCATTTTGAGAGTTAGCTGCCTAATAGCATTGTGAAGGTGACATGGAATAGGACTATAAATATAGTCATCATTTTGAAAGTAAAGCTGATTAATATGTAAGTTAAGATATATAGTAGTTTAGGTAACAACAAGAAAATTAAGAAGAAAAGCACAAATAATTTTTTAACTGCTTGTTTTCATTTTCTTGTAATGCTTTTTATGTCGTAATTTAAAGTAATTTTAACATTCACTTGGAAAAAAAGGAGAGATTTTTCAAACAATTTTGAAGACATTTCAAATGTCAATTTTAGAAAGACTGTTTGCCAAATACTTGATAAGGTTAAAGTGGGCCTTCTTTCTTAGGTGCATCAAAATCCATGCTGTTAATCCCCATTAACGCTAATTGGTGTTATTGTGTGTAAATCTTCATACATTTACAACAGAATATGACATTAGACTAAAAGATAACACTTCATCAATGGTTAGTATTCAAAATGCCAGTTAAATGGTAGTGCAAGCAAATGACCCATAGCACAAACTATGTAATTTACATATTTAATTTGATATATTTTGCAAAGATATTAAAATAAAATAGGAGATAGGCCCTAAATGCCTTAATGCAACATTCTTATTTTAGGTCCAGGTGGAGTACTGTAGAACAGATTTTTTTTTTTTTAAAGATTTTATTTTTTCCTTTTTCTCCCCAAAGCCCCCCGGTACATAGTTGTGTATTCTTCGTTGTGGGTCCTTCTAGTTGTGGCATGTGGGACGCTGCCTCAGCGTGGCTTGATTAGCCGTGCCATGTCCGCGCCCAGGATTCGAACCAACGAAACACTGGGCCGCCTGCAGTGGAGTGCGCGGACTTAACCACTCGGCCACAGGGCCAGCCCCTGTAGAACAGATATTTTAAGATGGGCATACTGAAAAAAAATCTAGTAAAAGCATTGAATCTTACTCAGTGACATAAGTTACGGAAGGTGAAACCCTTGGACTAGCTGATTATATTCTCTTTGATGTTGGTGAGAGAATTCCTACTTCCTTTGATTTGGAGGAGAAGCATCTGTCTATTGGGAAAAGGAGATTGGGGGTGAAGGCCAGTGGGCAACAGGGGTGGGGGTTATGACAAGGGCTTTAATTGCAAGAATTAGATAGTCCCTTGTTAAGGGAAGCAGGGGCAAGATGATGGTGGTGTTAATGAACTTGTTCTTTTTTTCAGTTTCTTTTTTTCACTTCTGCATAGAGGACCACACTGTAGAATGGTTTTCCTGACGAATTGTATTCCTGAATTATTGAGTAGAATTAAATGTTTGAGTTTCTTCTCTCCACTCCCTCCACAGGTACTTGCATTACGAATGGTTTCATACAGATGCCCAGTTCCTTTATTAACAAGAGGTAGTGGAATGGGATTTTAGCTATCAGATTCTCATAAGAGATATGAGCTCAATGGATGTGATGATAAGTCGTAAATATATTTCTGATGGTTTCTCTCTATTCCAGTATTTAGAGACATGGTTATACTTTGGTATTGATTAATACAGAGTATAATAAGTGCTTGCATGTGGGAGGTTCCAGGCTATAGATGTTGATTGGTTAAATCGGTTAATTAGGGTATAAAGAGGAATGCTCTACATGCAAGTTATGCTCTACAGATAACTAGCTGTAACTGATCATAATTAAGATAATGGAAAATATAAAATTCTCATTAATGGCAATTCTTTATCAATTTGTACTTAAAATATAAATTTTTGATGAGGGAGCTCTTTCAAATTATACTTTGTGAAAGGTAACATATCTTAGATTTGAGGAGTCCTCAGGAAATTGTCTAGAGCTGTCTTTAGCACCATGATAGGACCGTGCATGATTGTTTAATACTGAAGACTCTCCTGTTGATTCTTAAATAGCTCCGAGAATGGAAATCTCTACTGTTAGCAAAGTTCTCCTTATATTTAAATTGAACTTCTCATTCTTCAATTTCTATCCTATCTTCTACACATGTGCCTTTCATCTGGATTATGAGTAGCGGATGGAGGCAGTGACGTACTGGAGACGGCTCATACCAAATGGGGAGAGTTTACTGTTACATTTCCAGAAATTCTGCAAGCCAGTTGTTAAACACAGACGTTATTAAAAATTAATTATATAATTTTAAATGATATTAAAAACAAAGGTAATAAATATCCAAAATTCAACCCTTCCTAATTATTTTACTGAATTGTACTGTTATCTATGCTCCAGGGGTGATTTTACGTCTATTGTGTCTGTATGGTAGAAATTCTATATAACAGTATGCTATTGAGCATCTCTTTCCGACTCTGCATCTAGTGACATCATATTGGTAGCTAAAAATCTATTATGGTGGAAGTATTCATATCATGAAAATACACAAATCCCACAAATCAGGTCCTCTTCCCACCTCTCCGAGCCAGTTATTAAACATTTACTA